TTGAAACAAGCCTCGTAGCTACTACAGAGTGGGAGCTGACACCCTCCCTAGAGAGAGTTCCGGGGGTCGGGCTGGTGATTTTTTGCAGTCGGGCTTAGTGTGCTGTGGGTTCGATGGTGAACGATGGTGAACGACACCCAAACAAAAATTCCGGCGAACCCCCCCAAAAAAACATCAATTCCATCAAGTGGCTCTTCGGGCGCCAGAATCGACCGAGTCGGTCAGGTTGATGGAATTGATATTTCAACGCTCAAAATATCAATTGCCATCAATTGGCTCCAGAAGAGTCACAATCACGACAGCAGTGCCCAAAACGACAGGGAGCGAACAACCGAAACACCCTCCAGCCCAAAACCGGACCCGAAAAAGCTATAAAAACCTCTCAAATATCCGATTGATGGAATTGATGGAATTGATATAAATTTCCGGGGGTCGGGCTGGTGATTTTTTTTAGTCGGGCTTAGTGTGCTATGGGTTCGATGGTGAACGACGGTGAACGACACCCAAACAAAAATTCCGTCGAACCCCCCCAAAAGAGGCATCAATTCCATCAAGTGGCTCTTCGGGGGTTGCAGCGGTTCCGGATCGGGGGCAGAGGCCACGTACCTCTCTCTTATGTAGCATGTCTTTTTCCCCCTGTACTACTACACAGCGTCTAGTATGAAAGAAAGAAGAAGTAAGGCAGCAAGAGCCCAGCAGCCCCATAACCAGTACAGAAATGCGACCAGAAAGCGTGTCGCTGCCCAAAAAATCGCACTAGAATGCAACAAAAGTGGGAGCGATCCGTCAAAATCCGCGCAGAAATGCAATCTTGGGAGGGTGGCCCCCCCTTCCCCTTCCCTTCCCTTTTTTTTTCCTTTCCTTTCTCCCCTTTCTGAAAGTCGGCTGGACGGCCTGAGCCCCCAAGATTTGGGCAGGTTCAATAATGCCACTCACTCGACCGACCCAAAAAAATTCGGTCTGTTTAACACACTCCAAGAAACCCGCGCCATCTGCAAGATCACCTGGCTGCTTCCGGGAATCAGCATTGGACTCCAGCTTGAGCAGCAGCATTCGGGGAATCGCCACTGGCCTCCAGCCTGCGTGGTGCATGGCTGGTGCATGGCTAGAAGCATGGCTAGTGCATGGCTGGTGCAGTGCTGGTGCAGTTGCAGCAAGAGTCCCACAAATCACCAGACGCAAAGTGAATACGCCACGCTTTTTCGGCACTCTCGCGGCAGACCTTGGAGGCTCATCGCTTCATACTCTTTTGTAGAAGCGGATCTTCTCGAACTTGACTTTGGCAGCATCAGACTTCAGATCCTTCAAGATTTTTTGCGAGCATTGATACTTTCTCGTTTCTACCCAGCAGGTAATGGGCTTTACATCATCTTGGTTGAACTCGAAGTAGCGGCCGAGGATGTTCTGGTAGTGGTTAAAGCTTACGCTTGCCAAACAATCTTGCGGAGTCAAAACGTTAACGGAGCTAGAGTGGAGGCAGCTGGTAGTTCTAGGGAAATACATCCAGCCATCTTGGGCGGCTTGGGCCTCTGCATGCCACTTCCTCATATCCTCCGTGCACATCTTCGAGCCCTCAGAATTCTTTGCTTGCGAGGAATTCATCTGAGCCAGCGACACGGAACTCGAAGCAGGCAACGTCTGGAGAAGCGAATGTCTTTTCTGAATCGTCCAGTACCCCCAGTTCAAGCCTTCTTGTACGGTAATTGGCTGCCATCGCAGAAAACCAGCATACACACGTCGGCCTTCTTCTGCCCACCCAGGACGTCCAAGAAGGGAATGCGCACCAGCTTTTGTCCACACAAGCTCTTCATCCTCACCCACAAAGGCTGCAATACCATTGTCGGCAGGAGGCTCATCCAGTTGGACATACGGCTCTTCTTCTGCATGTGGTAAGATGCTCAGGCACATAAGCTCGCGCTCAGAACCTTGCAAGATGTGACGTTCTGTGCAGCATTCTTTCTTCCATCCCTCTCGGGTGTCTGCCGATAGGAAAGGCCAGCTAAGACCTCGGCGCCGACCACAGTGCATGCAAATCATACCTCATACCCTGCAGGTCCTGCTACCTCATACCGCTAGGCTGGAACCCTTTGCGAAGTCCAGCTGTCTGCAGCAATAATTATCTCCACAGACTGATTGAACATAACTTGAGGTTTGCACATGGGTCGGTCAACTTCAGGTCGAGTGTTGGGAGGTTGCAGCATTGTTTCGGAAGCTTGAGATCGTTATGTATAAAAAGAAGCCTCCAAGGCTCACATCTATAATAAGATGTTTGGGGCCTGGGCTCAACATCGTGTCGGCAAGGTTTTAGCAAAATCGATTTGAAACATTGGGGTTGCTTGCGGGTTTCAGGTGGGGTGCCGGAACCTTGTGCTCGGCATAGTTTAACACGACGAGCGCTCGAGTATCGTTGGTTTGAGCGGCTGACCTGACGCAGCCCACTCAAAAAACACACTGCGCGTTTCCGGCCTCACCACCATTCCCTCTTCCTGCACCGATTGAAAAAATGGTTCCCGTCCAGATCGAGTGGTTCTTGCTCTAGCACACGGTGCTAAAAGCAAATGGAGGTTGCCCTGCCATGACAACTACATGATTACAGTTGTGTTGCTTTTGCCTTATACATGCTCATGCGATCACACAAACACAATCTCAAACCAAAGCTTCATCCTTCAATGCCCGGAAATTTCTGTGAGTGGCTTACTCCATTGTAAAAAGGGTTTGGAAGCCTCCCCTAAACGGGTATGTTTCCTGTAGTATGTAGAAACTACTGCTTGCGCAACCATTGTTCCGTTCCTTGGCTTTGGTGCTGGCCTGGGTGGCGCAAGCAATGTGCGTTGCTAGTAGAATGGGTCAGAATCGCTCACTGGAATGTCTCCGACACAATGTACCTTTCAAGCATGCTCAGGTTTTGAGAAGGCCTAGCCCGGTCAAGTAAGGACCTATCCCGAGTCCCGAGCATGCAGCAAAGCCAAGGTGCAGCTTTCTCCATTCCAACCACAGCTGTCCCCACAGCAACCCAGGAGATTTGCCTCTACCTTCTTCACGACAAGATCCGAACACAGGCCACTCATGGATCCTTGCCCCTCCACCCCAAGGTCTGCAATTTCTTTGCTCTGGCTGCGGATCTCATCGACAAGCTCAACACACTCTGTCTGGCACACCTGTCTGAGAGAGCTGTCTAATGCGCCATCGCCTGGAAAGAGCTGCGACATTTTGTTTCTATCTGCCAAGGCCCTCTTGCAAGCATTCGAGGACAGCTGTCTGTCAACTTCTTGCACCATAGCATCGCGCTTTTGAACGAGATATCTTCTTTCCCACTTGGGTATTCCAGGAGTCGCGTAGAAGGCGCCAACAAAAAGCATGGAGCAAAAGTCCACGGCTGTAATCCTTTGAACCTCAACCGGGTGGTCGCGGTACTCGTCTAGATACTTCACACACTCACACTTCTCATTCCACAGCTGCCAAGTGGGGTGATGCTCTTCGATCACTGTTGGGCTGAATTCATCTGGATATGAAAAATGCTGGTGGCTCCACAAGCAGAATCGGCTCAGACCAAAGGGTTGAGAATAGCCAGGCAAAGAGCAAACGCAGTTCAGCCCGCTCTCATCGGGCTGGGCTTTCCAAAACGAGCAGGCGGTGCGTGCTCGGGTAGTCGGATCCTGTGCCCACTGCAGGACTTTTGTCGGCTCCTGGGCTGAGAGCAACCACCCGCATCACGCTACTTGGCTACTGCAAATCGCAAATACCCTGAATCGCTTGAAGTTCAGCCAAGTCGCTGCGCTCTCCTGCGAGTTGATCTGCTGGTCCGAAATGTCATGTAGCGGCCGAACCGCTGCAACAGCCACCGTGCATGAGATCAATGTTGCCAAATCACGGAAAGTCTGGCACATGGCACCAATGCTGGCTCATGCAACTGAAGAGCCTCTACGGAACCACGGTTGCGAGCAGCACATCACCAAGATGCTCATGGTCAATCAACACCCGCTACATGTCGCCATTCTTCTTACTGTACGTACCTGGTGGGTATCTGCAGGCATCTTAATCCATGAAACACAGCCGGCAGATGCCTCCAAAGCACCCTGGAAGCCCAGGCTGAACCACAGCCGTGACCTGGAAAGTCAATTGGCCAACGTTTGAAACCCTGCGATGCCCTGCTGGAGGGCTTAAAGCATAGGGCAAAAACCGCAGCGACAGATCCCGTGCAAATATATCGCTGGGAGAAACTCAGCTTCTGACACACTATCATCTGGCCTCCAGAGTCGGACATTGGGACAAGCTGCGATGAGTGCCCATCACAGCTTCATCCAAAGAGCCAATTTACTGCATCGCCACTGCATTTAATGCTACTGTCCTGCTGCGCCTTTCTTATGTGTGTCTCTGCTGCGATCTGTCTCGAGTGACAGGAGCTGGAAAAGCCAACACGCGCCAAGCAAGTGGGCTTCAAGCGGCTGGTTTGCTACTGCTGGTATGGAAACCTGTTTGCCTTTGAACCCGTCGCGTTCTTTTACTTTCGACGCCTGCAGAGACGGTCCATATGCGAATCAAAGGCAGCTTAGTCAAACATCACCCTAAACCCTAAACCGAGTCGCCGCCCTACAGCTTCGAGCTCGCTTGCTGCAAAAGGCGAAGGGTCTCATGGCGAGCCGTCTTGTTGTCGATGCAGCGCTGATCCACGGGACTTTCCACATAGGATTCTGCCGTATTCCCTTGCTTGTCCTCGAAGAATGCATCCCACGTTTCCCTACAAGCGAAAGCCACCTCGAGTGACAAACTTCACGAACGGACGTTAACTCTTTATCGACTAGCATGACCCTACAAGTCATCTGAGCATGTCAGATAAGCCGTTCTCGACCCGAAAATTGGCAAGGAAGCTCTCCTGCATGTCGGGCTGCGCGCCCTTTTCCAAAAGAAACTTCACAACATCAGGCTGGCACTTTTTCGCTGCCTCCCAAGACAAGAGGTTGGGCATTGAACCGGCTGCCGATACCTACAATCAGGCACCTCCGTCAGCACCGTCGTCTCGAAATAACCGGCTTTCTTGTTCACGTCAGCTCGTTTTGATAAGAGCAGCGTAGCAGTCTCGGCCACATTGGTCCAAGTTATGCTTGTAAGAAGGAACCTCAGGATGGCAAGCCAACAAGGCGAGAACTACGCTTGCAAGGTAAGCTCCGCCTCTCGGCGTGCCTGCGAGTCGGCGAGCGTGCGGATAAGCACTTGAACACACGTGTCCCACTGCGCAAACTAACAAAAGCAAATCCAACACATGAGGCATTACTCAAAATGTGTCGGCGCCTTCACTCATGTGTCAATCTGCGAGACAACCGACACATGTCAAAGGCTTGCTGGAGGGACGCCTGATCAGTACATTCAAGCAGCCTGTGGAACAGGGCCATAAGCGGTGTCGAAAGAGTGTCCATACTGGTTCGGCCTGCATGTGCATTGGCTTCGCTCAACTCAGTCATCACACATGCGCCTGCATTGACATGGTTGCAAGGTGTTGAGATGGGCCTTGCTCGTTGGGATCTGCTTTCAAGTCGAGCAGGAATGGCACTGCAGCAAGGCTTCCGTGGTCGATGGCCTGGACAGCGAGGGAACACGAACAAATGTATATATCCCACTCAGAGCGGAAACGCGCAGTCTCAACGACGACTTACGCAAATCTTCAGTCGGACCTGCATCAAACCGACTTGCTGGCCTGGCCAGCTTCCGACTCAAAGGTCAAGACACGGCCCCGAATAACCTAGCTTGTCGCCCCAGCCCAAGTCAGCCGAAAACACAAGCTTTGGGAGTAGGGAAACTCTAGACCGTGCAAGCAACAGCTTCTAGCCTTTGGTCACCGTGAGCAGGATTGGCCTGCACTAGCGCGGTCTGCTTCTCGCAATCTTCGTGCCCCTGAGCTCACGGTACATTCAGACCACAACCTTTGCCCACTTGTCTCGTGGTGAATGTTTCACGTCGAGAACGAAGGCAGCGAAGCAAGCCAGGAAACCCCTTCCACAATCACATGAACCTGTCCGTCAAGTGGCTGGCACTACGAGACTTGCACCTGCTCGAAACAAAATCTTGAAAAGGCTGCCCAGCAGGATCTCATCATCGGTTTTGCCCTGACACCCATTGCCAGCAAGCCATAGCAAAGGTGTAACGAGGCACCTAGAAAACAGCTGCTGGACAGGTTGACAAACAAAATGATTCCAGCTTGCTGACTTCAGCTCAAACAACAGTTCCTGAGGCCAGCACTCGGAGTCTTGCTCAGGGGGCATGCTTGGGTTCACACTGCTGTTTGCACGGATCAGGCGTGCTGCAATGTCGACGTTGCACTGGCGGCTTGCGCGAAACAGGGCCGTAGCACCTTCTGCGTCCATCTCATCCACCTTCAAGCGCGGGTCCTTTAAGAGCAGTTCCAACACCTCCCTGTTGCCCTCTGACGCCGCAACTCCCAAAGGGGTCTCTTTGCAGCCTGCCTTAGCTGCACCGCGAAGCAGGACACCCAACAGCGAAAACAACACATGCCCTCGTGCAGAGCACAAAACGAACTTGCCAGGCTGCACAATTCGGACTCCAGAACTTCAACAGCTCCTTCACCATATCTGGCCTGTCGAACCTGACAGCCCTTTGCACCACGGCACAACTCTTCTGTTTGGTAGCCATCGCCTCGCTCCAATCGCGTAGCTCCTGCAAAGTGGCGATGCTGCCGAAATAAACCGCCTCGTTAAGGCAGTGCTCTGGCGACAAAGTCACTGCAACGTCGTAGTTTTCGTTCCAGGGTTGATATCGATTCCAGTACTTGCACGACCTATCTCGCTCTGCCCAGAAACGCTTTTGGATCACCGCATGTCCTGAACAATCATGCCCCAGCTCAACAGTGCGTTCCTTGATATCAAAGCGTTTGTCGAAAATCGACCCATGCACTGATTCAAGCTTAGACGTGCAGGCCGCATACACACTGCGCCTGTTCCGCAAGGAAAACTCTGGAAGGAGGAAACCACTGTCTGCAGTCAGAGTGATTGGTGGTGGGTGTGCCAGAATCCTCAGCGGCAAGGCCTGTTCTTCAGCATCTGTGTCGTCTGGCGTTGTGGCCACAACGATCTGCGTGCTTTGCATCAACAACTGAGGGCGCATGGAGATAGCAAAGACCTTCGAGATCTGGCTCTGCGAGCTGTTCACGGCAGGTAAGGACCATTCTGCAGGCTGCATGTCAGGGTCGGGTTCCTCCTTTGGATCCCTGTCGACAGAATCGATCCGGAGTCCTGCAAAGCGACCACTGATGCGAACATCCTGCAGCCACTTCACCAAGCCTTTGCTCGACAGGCGGCCTCTGCTCTCATCGACTCGAAGCTCAGCTCTGGTTTTCTGCGAGTAGAGGCATATCGATGTTGAGTTTTGTAACTTGATCTTCTCCTCCTTGAGGCATTCGGTGCCAACACCAGGCTGCTCATCGCCACAATTGCACTTGTCTGCATACCGAGTTATATGATGCCCTCCACTAGCTGCCGTCGAAGTCTGCAAGGGAGCAAAGCAAACGGGTCCAAACTCCACGGACAGCGTCCAGTTGCTAGCAGAATCAGGATCCGCAATGTACCAGTCGGCATTCCGCTCCTGGTAAAGCCAGCGTCGAGTCTCTTCGAACGGATGCGCTTGGCCTGACGACTCGGCCACCTGGCCATTCAAAGACAATGACAAGGCCTCACCCACACGTAGCAAATGGAACGTGTACCTAGTCTTGGAGGTGAAAGGCGACAACAATTACAGGCTAGATGAACATTGTAGAACTCAGACAACACACTTCTCCATGCTTGGAGAAACTGACAGGCGGTGATTTGCTTCGAGGTGCCGCGTGGGCCGCAGCTGAAGCTTCCCCACGACCTCCACAGTGATGCGGCTGTATAGCGGTCCAGCTGGGAGATTTATCTGATACTCCCCAGCTGCCACTGCAGGTCCAGTAGTGTTGTTAACAGCCGCTCTGCCCTCTTGGAGCCGGCGGGAGAAGAGGAGGACTTCTGCAGAGTCTTTCAGGTCCATCTGCGGATGTTCGAGTTTGAGCGAGACGCTCTGTGCATGCTGTCCTGCCTCGAAGACAAAGGTGACGGAGTCGGAGTCCTCATGCAGCAAAAGGGTGTTCTGCAGAGCTGTAGCACCTGGCAAATATTCGAGATGGCCCTTGTTGAAGGAATATTCCGTCAAGGTACCTCGGAGCTTGTTTTTCAAACTCAAACATGTGCTCAGCACTTCATTAGAGATCTGCTTTCATCTGAGTGGCCGCGCATTTGTAACGCATCCAGGCCCATGAAGATCAGGACGCTGATACCAGCGGTGGCCATAGTCCAAGTAAGGCAACTGATCACAAGAAAGTGCGCTTCCTCGGCTTACGGATTTCCGACAAATAGATAGGCAGTACGGGAGCCAAAGCACTTGTCCATCTCTAACCGTCAATATCAACCACACTGACAGGGTGTAACCACTCAAAACCATGTTCGGAATTCAGAGGGGCGCGGCCCAGGGCGAATTCTCGTCACTTTGCATCGGGAACACAGATATTATAGTCGAAGCTAACTGGCCGAGTGGCTCTGGAAGTTGTTAGTTTTGATGGCGGCGCCGAGTCTGATGTTGGAAGCCGCTCACCAGGATACTCTGTGAACTCGGAAGTGAGCTCCGGCTCCCTCCATTTGCTAAGGCCGTTTAAAGATGTCTTGAGGTCCCATGCATGCACGAGGACAGCCGCAACCAGCCCCAAACAAGGTGCCAATGCCGTTGCTGACCAAGCAGCGCAGCAAAGCGCAGAGGCCATCACTGCTGCAACAGCACCAAAACCATACATGATGTGGTCAGCGTCCGGTGGGCGCAAACGTTGTCGCTGCCGCTCCAATACCTGATCACAGCAAAGGCCCCACTTCACCGTAAACTCGGCCTGCTTTAGGACCAGGATATGCATGCAGAAAAAGCCGAAAGCAAGGGTCATGAGCATGCTGAGCGGCAAGACGCCCGCCAACTCATCGAGAATGAGCCATTGCACCGACGCGTGTCCAGTTGCTAGGACGAGCTGTCTTCTCAAGAAAGCCGCCACGGGTACCATGAGCTCCCTGTTAGCTCGATAAGGTGGGTGATCATCCTCGAAAACCCCCTTCCAGTTCTCAGCACTGTCATACAGCAAGACCCAACCAACCGGCTCCTTCAGCTCACCCCAAATTGCTTCAAACTTGCGTCCAAAAAACACTCTCTTCGCCCAGCCGATCAAGGTCTTGGCCATATCAGCCCTAATGTTGCCTTCGGAAAGCTTCATCTGCTGCACTGTCACCTCCTCTCCTGAATCCAACACTGTGGAAAAGTACTTCTGAGAGGTGTCCTGGTAGACCTCTAGGTGACAAGCAAGCTTGTACGACTTGGGCAGCTTCTGCTGGAGCAGGCGCTCCAGGTGCTGGCTGGAGTCTTGAGCATCGCTTGGGGCCATTATCCCTAAGTATCCCAAGCGTAATAGAGGCAGCAGCGCCTTGCCGCTCACAAGCACCACCCCCGTCAGAAGGAGCAACTCCAGTCCAAAGACCAGTCGGTGTGGGACTGACCTCAAGGTTTCAGAAGCTGGATCCCAATGCCCGAAAAGACCCACCAGTCGGAAAGGCAATTGCTCGAAGGTCATCTTGGCCACACATGGCCTCTTTTGGGCTCCATCTTCACCTTCCCCGTGCCTGAAAGGTGGACGGCATAAGTAAACAGTCTGTCCAAACAGACTTCGAGCCTTGGGTACCAGCAAGACCTGCCACGTGGAGTCCAAGTCGAGGGGATTCTCTGGAAACATGTGAAGCTCTGCAGCTGGGATTTCTTCAAAGCCTTTGTTCTGAAGCTGTTGCACCTCTCTCTGGGGAGGGTGTTGTCAGCTCCCACTCTGTGATAGCTACAAGCCTTGTTTCAAGACATAGGTCAGAATTCGTTACTTTGGGGCACTGACGATCTGCGGGCCTACG